TTACCACTAAAGGGGAGTGAGAAAGGTAGCTAAACTGATTATAAGACAATTATAACACAATGTGACAAATGTTATAAAAGTGTTAAGAGCCAGAAGAGGGGAAACTGAGTAAGACTTTGGAGAAGTAATATTTGAGTTGGGTCTTAAAAGTTAAAAAGGAGTTTTCCAGACAAAAGAGAAACCTGTAAATGTATAGGTACAGAGATATAAAGAATGTAGCTCTGCAGGAAATAGGAAAGCGAGAAGCAGGAGGAGACAAAGCAGAAAGTCACGGCAGGCCTTGACTTACTAGGAAGAGGAAAGATACAGCCATGTATGTAATTTCACCTGTACAAACATTTATTAAGTACCTACTGCAAGCCAGGAAATGTGCTCCATGCTGGAGATAGAATGGATAACAAAAGAGGCAGACTTTGTCTTCAAGTGGCTTACACATTTGCAGAGAGAGAGACATTAATCAAATGGTAGAAACAAAAGTTCAGGATGCTCATGGGCCTATAACAAGGGGACCTGCCGACAAGATAAGCTTCCCTGAGGAGTGGACTTTGAGCAGGGAGCTGAAGGAGGCATAGGGGAAGGGGAGGACTAGCGCTCCAACATGGGCAGAGGCCCCAAGATAAGCAGAAGAATGGAGCTTTGGAAGAAAGGAATTAAGTCTGCTGTGGCTGGAGCAAGAAAGAAGGAAAAAGTGGTACAGGATCAGGCTGGGGAGGCAGCTACCCCAGAGATCTTGGCCTTCATCCTGGGAGCCCTGGGGAAATCCTGAAGGGCTTTATGCAGAAGCACACAAGATCAGACCTGTGATTTTAAGGGATTATACCCACTGAAGTGTTGACAGCAGGTGGGCATAGGCCACAGCCAGCAGATGCAAGGGAGCCAGCTAGGGAGCTGCTGTGGGTGTTCAGGTGTCCAGGCGAGGCAGGAGCATGGACCCGCTGGTGGCAGCAGAGAAGGGGACTGGCTAAGGTGTGAACATCAAAAGACATTCTCAGTTAAAGGTTAACTGTTATCAGAAGCAGGAAGGACAGGGAAGATGGCACTTTCACACCAAGTTTACTTTCAAAGAGGGATACTTCGCACAGCTTTTCCCCTACAGAGTGAACACAATGCTGCATGAGCATCATCCTGCCTCCCTCTGGCAATCAGCTGCACTACTTATCTCACTACCAGGAAGCCCGGCATTCATCCTGCTACTGGTCATTTAAGGCTCCATGAGGCAAACAGAGGCTTCTCCTTGTTTGTGCTTGTTCAGTTAAACCAAGTAAAAGGCAAATGACAAACTGAGAAAAATCATTTGTAACATACAAAGCATTAATATCCTTAAGGGGCTCTTACGAACCAATAAAAATATGAACTTTAACCTAGAACTACTATAAAGAAATTGAAGTTTGCAAATATGTATATCATCAGGATACTCACTGGACCATTGTCTACAACAGAGAAAATATTAGATGCAACCTAAATGTTCCACCAATAAATTAGAGTATGGACGTTTAATGGAATACTATGCAGTCATTAAAAATGGTGATGTGGATCCCGAATGGTCAAAACAATCTTGAAAAATAATAACAAAGTTGGAAGACTCACACTTTCTAATTTCAAAACTTACTACAAAGCTATGGTAATCAAAATAGTGTGGTACTGGCATAAAGACAGACATATAGGGGCCAGCCTGGTGGTGCAAGCAGTTGAGCGCGTGCACTCCACTTCGGTTGCCCGGGGTTCTCACAAGTTCAGATCCCCGGCACGCACTGATGCACTGCTTGTTAGGCCATGCTGCAGAAGTGTCCCACATAAAGTGGAGGAAGATGGGCACAGATGTTAGCTCAGGGCCAACCTTCCTCAGCAAAAAAAGAGGATTGGCATTGGATGTTAGCTCAGGGCTGATCTCCCTCCCAAAAAAAAAGAAAAAAAAAAAAAAAAACAGACAGACATATAGACCAATGGAATAGAACAGACAGCCCAGAAATAAACCTAGACATTTATAGTCAAATGATTTTTGATAAAGGTGCCAAGACTATTTGATGGGGGAAAGGATAGGCTTTTCAACAAATGGTGCTAGGACAACTGGACATCCACCTGCAAAAGAACGAAGTTGGACCCCCTACCTTATAACATATAGAAAAATTAACTCAAAATGGATCAAAGACCTACATGTAAGAGTTAAATCTATAGAACTTTTAGAAGATAAAATAGGGAAAAGCTTCATGACATTGGATTCAAGCAATGACTTCTTGGCTATGACATCAAAAGCACAGGCAACAAAAGAAGAAATAGATAAATTGGCTACATCAAAATTAAAAACGTTTGTGCATCAAAGGACACTATCAAAAGAATGAAAAGGCAACCTACAGAATGGAAGAAATATTTGCAAATCATATATCTGATAAGGGATTAATATCCAGAATATATAAAGAACTCCTAAAACTCAAAAACAAACAAAAAAACAACCCAATTAAAACATGGGCAAAGAACATAAACAGACATTTCTCCAAAGAAGATATACAAATGGCCAATAAGCACATGAAAAGACGGTCAACATCACTACTCATTAGGGAAATGCAAATCGAAACCACAATGAGACACCATTTCACATCTATTAGTATAGCTATTATCAAGATAATAGAAAATACATGTTGGCAAGATTGTGGAGAAACTAGAACCCTCATGCATTGTTGGTGAGAATGTAAAATGGTGCAGTCACTATGGAAAAACAGTATGGCAGTTCCTCAAAAAAATTAAACGCAGAATTACCATATGATCCAGCAATTCCACTTTTAGGTATATACCCAAAGAATTGAAAGCAGGGACTCAACCAAATATTTGTACACCAATGTTCACAGCAGCATTATTCACAGCAGTCAAAAGGTGGAAACAATCCTACTACCGAAGTACTTCATTGACAGATGAAATATATACAAATATTTGTATTTATTTACTTACTAGTAGTTACCTAATATATATAAGAGTAGAATAGCGGTTGCCAGGGGCTGGAGGAAGGAGTAATGAAGAATCATTGTTTAATGGGCAAAGACATTCAGTTTGGGATAACGAAAAATTTCTGGAAATGGATAGTGGTGACGGTTCACAACAATGTGAATGTACTTAACACCACTAAATTGTATATTTAAAAATGGTTAAAATAGTAAATTTTATTTTATATATAGTTTACCACAATAAAACTAAATTTTTAAAAACGGTGATGTATTATTTTTTTTTGATGAGGAAGATTAGCTCTGAGGTAACATCTGCGCTCATCTTCCTCTATTTTGTATGTGGGACACCACCTCAGCATGGCTTGATGAGCGGTGTGGTGTGTAAGTTCATGCCCGGGATTTGAACCTGAGAACCCCGGCCCACGGAAGTGGAGTGCATGAACTTAACCACTACGCCACGGGACGGGTCCCTGTGATGTATGTGTTCTAAAGGACTTTTATATTATGTAAGGTGGAAAAAATAGATTACAAAATTATATGTACAGAAATATCACTTTTCTGTTTAAAAACAAACTTTTTGCTCACATGAGCCCAAGAAAGGCTTCGATTTTCATCTTGAGGCCAGAACTGTGTTCCCCATCTGTGAGAGAGGCTAGGAAATTGAGTCTTTAGCTTTCCTCACTCAGTAGGAGAGGAAAGCAGAAAAGGACTAGTTGAGGATGGGTATGGACCAAGCCACCTCCACATCAGAGATGGAGGTCTTGGAACCTTCCCTGGCCCTTTTCCTTTTGTACCAGTCAGATTGTGAGACTAGCCAGATCTGCTAGGGTACAAAAAATGCAAGCTCCTATGGCTTTTCTCAAGATTTATACTACTACTAAGTGAATAACTTGAAAGCATCATCTAATAGAATATTGTCTTGACTGAAAATTCCATTTGTTCAAGGCTTTCAGTTTGGGGAAAGTTAATGTCTGTCTACTTAACAGCTGTGACCGGGTGAACGCTTCAGATCAAGTATGCCTTTAAAGGGGGATACTTAACACAATTATTTTCCTAAAAAGATGTTGCACTGGCATAATCTAGTTCACAGCAGTGCAGCACTGTCCTCTGAGGATTAACACGAGGTTGACTGTATTTGTACCACAGAGTGCTATGAAACACTGACCTGACGTAAAAAAATTAAAAACACAACAACAACAGAGTGGAAAGAACAGTGGGCTGGGAGTCAGAAGAGCTAGGGCTAGGGTCAGGTTCTGCCACTTGTCACTCAAGTACTCTTTCCTTCAACATATCACTCAATCTGCATATCAGGCACTGGGCTAAGTACTGGGAGGGGGGCGAGGATGGCCCAAGAAGATGTCAGATAAACAAGATCACCTCTGTCCTCAAGAAGATGATCTTTTACTCAGGCAAGCCCCTTAATCTCGCAGATCCTCAGTTTCTTCACCTATAACTCAAAGACATTACCATGCTCAAGGGTTATTAGGAAATAGAGTAGGATATTTCAACCTCAGTGCCCTGGACGTTTTGGGCCAGATAATGCCTTGCTGTGGGGGGTGGGAGGCTGTCCTGTACACTGTAGGATATTTAGTGGCATCCCTGGCTTCTACTCACTAGATGCCAGTAAGCTCCTCGCCATCCCTCCCACCCCAGTTATAACAACCTAAACTGTCTGCAGACATTACCAAATGTCCCCAGGGACAAAATCACCCCCAGCTGAAAACCTCTGAAATAGGGTGATATATAGGAAAGCATTTAAAAGCATAAAGCCCCAAATCAAGTCAGTATTAATGTACATACATTTGAAAGACTACTTGTCAAAAAAAAATCTTTTAAAGAATTTACAGTTTCCTTAGGAATGCTTTATTTTCTATTTTTATATATTTTGCCTACCATTAAAAGCCCTTCAGGGCTTTTTGGTTAATTTTCTTTAGAAACAAAGCATCTTCATTATAACATATTTTCTAAATGTATCACTCTACTAACATGACAGTTAGAGTCAAACATAATTGCCATCTCTACAAAGCAGAAATTTTATCCAAAATCAAAGTACTCTGTGCCTACCTTTTAAGGACAAGGGACTGGATCTTGTGAATTCTGTATTAGACGGCCTGTGCTGTTTACGAACCTCCAAGTACTCCTTAACTCTTGAATCAATGGTTTCTTTTAACAGTAGACAGACTTCCTAAAGTAAATATAAAATTAGATATAATTTTCTAACAATGCAATGCAAAAAAAGTCAACATCATGCACATTAAAAAGTCAAAGCTGAACATTTTGTTTGCTTTTTTATTTAGCTCTGAATGCTGAAAGGAATGCTATCTGTGCTCATGGATAACACAGCAGATTTACATTTGCTACTGAGGTCTATTTGAAACCATAACGTTGGCTCACTCTGTGATCTGAGAAACTCACTTAATTTCCCTCTGCCTCAGTTTCACATTACTAAAAGGAAGACAGAAACACTTGAATGTGAAAATTAGGGTGACGTGGTGACAAAATCAGGGAGGTAATGACTGGTTTTGTATAAACATCAATCAGTTGTATTGTGACAAACAGAAGAGAGAAGTCAAATAGAACCAACACCGGCTGGCAGCAAGGCCCCAGTGAAGTGCCCACTGTGTCCAGACAGGGGACTGTGGATGAGGGAAGCAGCCGGGAGCTAGGGCATAGTCAATGGGAACCCTGACCCCGACTCAGTCAACAGGGGGCAGGCCCCCACGGTTTCAGTGGACTGCCATCATGTGGGGATACAAGACACAGCGTCATCAGATCTTCTGATTTGTTCAAGAAGAGCCAGAAACAGTGATTTTTATACAAATATTTCTCATCTTTCAAACTTGGTTCAAAAAACTTTTTTACTCTAAACACCATCATTCATTAGTTTCTGGCCTCAGGTTTACAAATCCACATACTAAAAAAGGAACAACATTGAGTAGTGGGTTGAAAAGAGAACTAAAAATCAGTAATCAGATTTTCTTCTACACTCTTGTTGATGATACCGTATATGCCCATTTGCTTTTGTGAAAACTGCACTATATTCACTTATTAGTGGTGAAAATAATTTAACTTCTCATAGTTCTCTAAAGTAGATTAATATTTATTAGGCAACAGAAACACAAGGTTTTAATTCAATGTCAATATACCATACCACTAGCAAATTTATGGAGCAGTCTATTGTTTTATGTATCAGTGTTATGTATAAAAAGAAAAACAAAACTTGAAAAGTCAAACCATGCTAAAGTGCGTCCATTTTAGCCACACTACCAAAAAAATGTAACCTAATGTACGGAAAGGAAAAAATTGCACACAAATCTAAATTTCCTAACTGAGATTAAGAAGTGATGCGTAAGGATTGCTAATTCTGGTTCAATTCCTCTGCAGAAGGCTCAGAGTTGCTGAGGTCACCTCAAACCTGTTTCACTGGTTTCTTGCAATGCCATCTCAGGTTGATCTCTTAGAATCTTCATAAATTAAAGTGAGAACAAAGTTTTAAGCTGCTTAGAAGGGCAACGAGAGCCAAACTTCTCTTTTGTTGAAAATATATGTACTCCTCAAACAGTATAGAAAACCCTAGATTTAATTCACAAATGTGAGTTTCTAGATAAACTCCAAACTCTGGTCTCCTCTCTCCTGCTCTCATTTTGCAGCCCAAAGATGCAGTGCCTTGTGGAATATAGGGATATCCATTTACAGCTGAGTATTTTGGCATTGTTCACACAACAGAAAGGCAGCCTTGCCTCATACTGTTGTTTTAACAATTAAAGAATTTTGCTTCACATGCAGGGTTCAACTATGACTGAGCTAGAAAATATGTGAAAGACATACATGGAAACAAGGATTGTTAAAATTTGGCCACAAATGCCCTATATGGCTAGAACTAAAAATAGTAGGACAAAAATAAAGCAAAGAACCATACACATAAACTTTCTCCCAATAGTTACGGGGTTTTCCTTCGATGAGTCAGGTTTGACAAATGGAAGGTGGATCATGTGCAATGTGGTCAAGATACCCTAGTAACTGACCACAGCACACTGAGCGCAGCACTCTCTTCAGAACCCAAGCACTGCGAGAAAAGACAAATTCCCAGCTACACTGAAGGGGCAGACGAGAAGACCAAGTTAAAATCAATGAGCGAGAGAGAGATATACGGCATCTCTAGGCGAACACGGGCTCATGTTTGCTTCCTCAAGTTTACAAATGGAACAGTCTGAGTTTGACTGTTTGGGTACAAAGACTACTAGTCCTGGAGTCAAAACAAACATATGTTTAATACATGTAATTAGTTCATTTTTCTGAAAAGGAACTGGATATTCTTAAGACTTGCACTATATAAAGTTACTATTAAGATGCAATCAAATCAATTGCTCATGAAGTCCCAACCACGAGATGATCTAATGATAAAAAAAGATGAAAGCATTGAGACACTGAACATAGGCTAAAGTCACATCCTTTCCTCAATTAGCTTTTCTCTTTTCTCACACACATACACACACAAATTATCCCAGAGCAATTGTAATGTCCGTGAACATATTTTAAAGGGACAACTTAAAGTAGAAGCAGCAAACCATCTACTTTGCTCTGAGAGGAAAGCTTGGCTTGCTGGCCCAACCTGCCCTCTTGCAGCTGCCACGGCAGCAGAGCTCTGCAGGTCTGATCGTGCACGGAGCATCTTTGCTAAGTCATGCCCTGCTGCCCGGACATAGGTACTAGGTGGAGCAGCACAGCTGCGTGTGGCACCCTGGAAAAATCTAGCCTCACGCTTTGGCTAGGAGGTGATTCACATACTCATAGCTTTATTTTAAAGCCTTCTACATCAACTGACTCTTGGCAAAACTGACTAAATATCGTTGAGAAACATCTAAGGCTGAGGTGGTAAAGCTGGGAGAGAATGGAGGAAAATTTGGGCCTGGAACAGTGGATTCCAGAATGCTGTTAATGTAAGTCAAGTCAGAAGCCTTTTGGGTGAGGTTCCCCTCAGGTGAATATTAGTCACTTTGAGGAAATAAATGAACTGTTTTCAATCATGGGGACATGTGTTGGTAAGCCAAAGCTTGGAATATATGGAGGTGAGTTGTAGCAGGAGATGCTGGCCTACTAAACATGAAGTCCCAAAGAGACACCCCATGGTCATTAACCTGGAAGAAAAATCCCATCATATCAAATCTTGTGCCTTCCTTCTCCCAGCTTTGGGCCACCAAGTATCCTTTGCAAAATTATGACAGCAAAGTTCCGATAATTTCATTACCTTGTGACTGAAAATGTATTACTTATAAATTCTCTTTTGGGGAGATGTATTTTTTTTTTTTAGTCATTTTTAAAAGCTGATCGAAAACAGTTATTACAGAAAACATTCTTTAGGTTTTTTTTGCCACTATCATTAGTTTCTTCTTCATATACTACCTTTTAATAAAGCTTACTTTTATTTCTAGCTCTGAAAAGCTATTGTGACAAATGAGTATCATGGAGGACACCAAGTGCTATAATATTTTGAAAGTTACGTAAAAGCTGCTGCCTCGCTCTCCTTGTACAGGGACCTGGAGAAGGAAGCAAAGCACGTGCGAGAGCTGAGTGGGCCTTCTGGCCCTCTGCCACACAAGCACTTGGGTGGGATCATGGCAATGAGAGCCAGGAGTGACTCAGACAGCCTCTGGTCAAACCGCCTCACTTGCAGAGGAGGAGACTGAGGCCCAGGGAGGTCAAACAGCATGCTCCCAGCCACAGGACAATTCACTTTACTGACTGACTGTGGTGAGAGAAGAAACATAGCCAAACATCTCTGCACTTCTTGTCAAAGTCTCATGCTAATAAAAGGATGGTACAAGATAAAAGTGGAGAAGATGAGGATTTCAGACAGGTGTGAAGATGAGCCTTGTGTTAACCACCACACCTGCTCCAGGTGCTCAGTCTGTCCTTCACAACCAGTCAGGTTAAAATATCTGCTTACCCAATAGTCACCTTAATGTTTTCTTTTTTAATATAGAGAATCTCTTCCCCCAAAACAAAGTAGGAAATTTCTAGTTTAAATAACAGAGTAGTATATGAAATATAGGGATGTGTCAGTTTCTAAAGGAAAAAAAAAAGCAGATGTACGTCTGTCATTGGGAATATGACAATTGTTTTTCAAGGGTTAAATATCACTCAATACTTTTTGCTCACTAATGAAAATGAAAGCTGGAAGGCATTAATATTTCTTCTAGCAGTAGCCACTTGCATTTAAATAGTGAAAAGTTTTGTGGTACCTCTTTCTTCTGTTCAGAAAACCAGCTGGTATCTTTGTTTGAACCTTGCGGCAATATGTGAAGATCCACCAGGACAGCAAAATCCCCACACTGAAAGACATTAATGGCAGAGTTGAGCTCACATTCAACAAACAATGGGAGAAAATCTCACAAATTCCTATGTGGTTGCTCATGATGAAATGGCAGCAAAGTTCACGACTGGACAGAAATGTTAATATGGGACAGGGCTACAAGTCAGAACCTACTACTTTTTGCAAGTTTAATATTTATGGTACAATGCTAAGGAGAAATACAATTTTTATCAAGATAGAAAAGACAAAATACCTATCTCTGGGCCACACCTTGAAGAGAGCTGCCCAGGCATCCAGTGGCAGTTAGAAGACTATCAAACATTGAAAGAAGTTAAATAGGTCAGAACTAGACAGACTCCAGAAAAGAAAGATTCCATGGACAGCCAGGGGAATTCTTTCTTCTAGGTAGGAAAGAACAGTAAGCTACTGCATTTTTAGACAGGAAAAAGGACTGACAGATGCTGAATGACAGTTATCAAAACTAAATAAGTTTCATTAAAATACACTGTAAAACTGTACAAAGCTTGCTGCCTTTCACTGTTGAATAGGGTAGCCAACAGCCGTATGTGGCTACTGAGCATTTGATATGTGGCTATTGTGACTGAGAAGATGAATTTTAAATTTTATTTAATTTTAATTTAATTTAAACAGCCACATGTAGCTAGCAGCTCTGCGGCACAGCTTAGATTCTGTAAAAAGCGGTAGCCTTTTAAATTCTTACACCTTAAGAGTAAAGTAATTTCTGAGAATTTCAAGATAACTGTGGATGAACTAACTTATAAAAGGAATAGAAGATCAAGATTGCAGGTTGGGGCGGTCTCAGAGGCTCAAAGGGTCAGTTTATGGCCCACGGGGAAAACTCACTTTTATACCTCTTTGGCTGAACAGCTTTTTTTTTTTTTTTTAATTCTGTGTTATAATTCAATGGTGAAAGGAAAGTATTTTCAACAAACTGTGTGAGAACACCAGATATAAATATGGAAAGAAAATGAAACTTAAAACCTGCCTGACACCATATGTTAAAATTAATTTGAAATGGATCATAGACCTAACCAGAAAAGCCAAAACTATCTTCGCGATCTTAGGGCAGGAAAATATTTCTTAGACGGTAGCCAGAAAGCACTAAACATAGAAGAAAAAACTATTGAAGTGGACTTTGTCAAAATTTATAACTTTTGCTCATCAAAAGACACCATTAATAAAATGAATACATATGCCACAGACTGGGAGAAAATATTCATATACCTGACATATACAGATATCTGACATAAAGAACTAGTATTCAAAATATGTAAAGAACTCCTACAAATCAGTATTAAAAAAAATCCAAGCTTGAACAGATACTTCACAATTAAGATAAACAAATGGCTAACAAGCATGTGAAAAAAAGTGCCAGGTGAATGAAAATTAAAACCACCAAAAGATCCAACTACATACTTACCAGAATGACTAAAATTAAAAAGACTGACACACCAAATGTTGGTAAGGGTGTGGAGCAACCCAAACTCTTACACACTTCTGGTGGAAATGTAAAATGATTCAACCACTTTGGCAAATGGTTTGTCAGTTTCCTATAGTTAAACAGACATTTATTTACAGCGTGAGCCAGCAATTCCAACTCAGGTATTTACTGGGAGAGATAAAACATATGTGCACACAAAGACTTGTACGCAAATGTTCATGGAAGGTTTATTCACAATAGCCGAAACGGAAGACAACCCAAAACTCTATCAACGGAATAAACAAATTGTGGCATATTCATACAATTGAATGCTCCTCACCCAACTAGTGATAAGCTCAATATGGACTAATCTCAAAAACATTACACTGAGTAAAAGAAGCCAGGCTAAAACATTACATACTATATGATTCCATTTATATAAAGTTTGAGAACAGCAAAACTAAATCTCTGGTCAAAGCAATCAGAACAGCGATTTCCTGGGGAGGAACTGACTGAAAACAGGCACAAAAGAACTGTGTGTGGTGATGGGAGTGTTCTATATCCTGATGGGGTCCATCCCTAAGATCAGTTCATTTCACTGTATATAAATTACACATCAATAATAAACAATTTTTTAAATACTGTGTAAATACATTCATATTCATTGACAGTTATTTAAAATGTATTATGTCCCTGAAAATATGTGGATATTTTGGGGGAGAACGAAGTGCAGTTCACTGGGTAATAAATCGAGAAGGATGATGAGACATGGTCTCCCCTGATGTCACACAGTGCAGTGTGCCTCACTGAACTGCAGTTTAGTGTTCTGCAACCAGCATTTTATTTTAATGAAAGAGAATCAAAGAGAATATTGAACGAGACAAAAAATATCAATGTGTCACATGGTAAGGTCAAGTATTGTTTGGTGAAACTTATGTATGAGTGTACTGAGTTATGATGAAGAGCCTATTTCTTACTGTGGGTTGTGGTCAAAACTGTCTGAAAATCGTACTCAAGTATACTGTTTTTTAAGTTTTTTCACAACTGTTGATTATAGATTTAACCTTTAAGGAATATGCTGCCACCAGGTGGAGGTCGTATGCCACAACTACAGGATCTTAGCCAGAGGTTATTAACCTTTTGTGTGCCATAGACCTGTTTGGCCAGCTGAGAAGCTGATGAAACAGGCTCAGAATAACGTTTTTAAATGCATGAAACACAATCCATAGGATCAAAAAGAAAACCAATTTTATTTAAGGTTATGCAAATTAAAAAAAACCAAATTTGTGATATAGGAATATATGTACTTGTTTATTAAGGCATTGGCTCTTGTTACACAGTGGGGGATCTAATAGTGATCTAACAGATCACATAGTGGTGATCTAATAACTACTATAAATCCAAAGTAGTGATAAGCATAAATGACATTTTCAGATGTGCCACAACTATAACATGAAAAGAGCTATGACTTCTAATGGTGACAAATATTGCTAATACAATTATATTTTGAATACTTCATTCATAACAAAAACTAAATTTATTAGAACATGGTCAAAAGAAAGATGTACTTTTTTGTCCCATCCAAGTCCACCGACCCTCTAAGTTTTATCATGGGTCCATTGAGGCTCCACGGATCATAGAATGAGAGGCCCTCCACGGCAGCGGGATATGCCTCACTCACATTTTACTGGGTTTCCTGCAGGTTACTCTACCATGACTCCTCAAACCAAGTTCTCCAACACTCCTTCTTCGTTACCAAAAATCATTTTTAAAATAGTAAAAAAAAAAAAAAAAAAAAAAGTGGTGCTTGAACAATTTGCACTGATACTATGTAATAGTAATTTACAAAGAATTAAATAGCAAGGTCCAATTTGGTATTTTCTCATCATTTCCTAACTTTGATCACAAATAATCTAGTATAAGTTTGATTATAAACAGATTGATTAGAATGTTTCTTTTTTTAATAAATCATGGAATCGCACTCTGATGCTCACTCAACCTTTCCCGGGATTTCTGCCAGACTCCACCCCCTGGCACGCATACAGTCTCCTCCCCCCAGCAGCCAGCAGTTCGGAGATCTCCAGCAAGAGCTCTCTCCAACTCCCACACTAATCAGAGGTATTTTGCCTTTCTCAAGTTCCCTGGTCGCAGAGCTTTGCTGCTTTTCTCCCATGAGTAAACAGAAGTAAAAAAAAAAAAAAAAAAAAAAGCCTCTTACTGCTGCCAGCAACACAGCCTCCACTTCTCCTCCTGCTTAATTAGGAGGAGGTTACTTCCACTTTGGCAGATAAACTCTCCAGCTCTCTGCTGAGAGGAGCAGCACACTAACCATCACTTCCTTCTCAGGCCAGAGCTACTCATTTTACACAGGCCAAGTTACCTCTTTACCAGCCCAAAGGCTACTAGAAAAAGCTTCACATCCCATGCCCTGGGTTGTGAGTCAGCAGCCAGGGTCTGGTCCAGCTTCCAGCCCTTTCCACCCAGAGGTTTTGGCCAAAAACCTGGGAGTCAACCCTAACCCCTCCCCTTCCCTAACCCTCCACAATCAGTCAGCATGTCTTGTTGATTTTACTTCTTACAGAGCTAAACACACCCTCCTCTCTTGTTCTGCAGCTCACATCATCTCCCACCTGGAATATGAGGGCTACTTCTCTTGTGTCCCAGGTGAACTCTCGAGGCCCCTGCCTGAGCAATCTCTAACACACAAATGGGAGCAGTGCACTCCTGCTGTGGCTCCAAACATGACACACCAGCCTCTGATGGAGCCCTGCTCTCCCACTGTCTCCCCCTGCTCTTGGGAACCTGCTGTTTTTGCCCTCGGCTTCCAATGCACCTCAATGTTCCTGTGCATCCTCAAATCCTAGCAGGAGCGTGGACATCTCTGGAGCTTTTCTGAACAGTCTGTCACTCCCACTTGTGGATCGGGCACATGATTCACCTGCTTATTTACTTCTGCATCAATGGCTGGTCCACGCAGGGGCCTCCCCTACTAGATTGTTAGCTCCTTGGTGGAGACAGGGTCTACATCTCAGTGGACTCCGCCCCCAGGGATTAGCACAGTACCAGCTCACAGTAAGTGCTTAGTATTTAATGAAAGGAAGAAAGGAATGAACGAACAAATGACAGGACAAATGAGTTCTGAGTTTTGGGCAAACCACAGCCTTACCTGCAACCTAAGGGCTCTGAGCACATTCTGGGGACAAGGCCATTCTGATTCAGCCCGGGACACTGATGCATCATAGAACAGCTTCCTCCCTCCTTATTCTGGAGTGGTGACAACTATATCATCACCAACAACAACCAGTCATTTCCCTTATTTTGAGAAAAGGGAATACAAAGATCCTAGGATTACCTCACCCTAAACTCACTGCCAACCAAGCATGTTGGTGATTTTTCCTCTTTCCTAAGAGTTTCAAAGCCACAACTTAACTTGAACTGGTACCAAATCTTCAGGGTAAGTGTAAAATAAAGGAGAAAATGCTAATATTTCTCACATGTGTAGATATCTCAAACAGAAGCAGGTTCAGAGCTCTGAGATATGTGGAAGGTTTCCCACATTCTCTCACTCACTCATTCAG